TGTACCTGAGGTGGCGCGGTCAGCGTATTTCTTTTGTTTGGGTGTTCAGTCCGAGACTCGCTCCCAACCTTCCCCTTGAAAATTCCACCGGCCAGACTACACAGCGCAACAACCCGGAAGACAGAAATCTTCGAAATAAAATTATGTGTTCCCAGGCGTGGTTTTCCGCAGTATCGTGTTAATAATACCGCTGTAGAAACAGGAGAATAATCCTGGGAATGGCTGCTTAGTTCAAAGCAGAGATAATCACTAACACGTTTCACAGTGGGCGAGCGCGTTTCTCAACAGATGACCGCTGCATGGGGATGTCAACACAATGGCACGTCACGTAGCCTACCTGTCAGACTGTATCGAGAGTCAGCCAGCCCAGTCGATCCAGCAAACAAGGGCTCGGCCACATGGATCATCTGTGTGCTGCTCGTGAGAGCGGACATCTTGCAGTGATTCGCGACCTTTGAATAAAATGCACATATTCAATAAGCAATATACGAAGTGCGATTGAAAAGTTTCAAGACTGCGCCTATAAAAACCCGTACACTTATCTCAGGTATTAAATTCATCCATCACCCTCGAAGTAGTTCCCCTGGGAGTGAACACAACGATCCCAGCGCCGCTGCCAAGCCTGGAAGCATCCCGGGAAATCTTTCTTTGTCAGCCTGTCAAGCACCATCTGCGATTCTGCCTGAAGCTCTTCTATCGTCTCAAATCTCCTTCCCTTTAGCTACCCCCTAGCGGCATAAGCTCGTACTACATCCGGTTCGCCCGCTATTGAGACAGTCTTGAAACTTTCCGATCGCACCTCGTAATATGTGACGGTATGACGCGATAATGAACTTTCGAGTTGCATAGAAAAAGCTGAATCTATTGACCTGCTAAACGACTATAAGATTTTCTATTCCGTCGGATTACTCACTTGGTTTTAACTGCGTTGTTACAAAAATAAATGGCTGGAGTGTGTGTTGGAGATCGTTCTTCAGTCACAAAGGTTTACTGTGACGTGTGGTCGAGCGGGTTCACCCGAAATTCTAACGGGAAACTCCCGAATTCAAGTCAAGAGTTGGTACGACTGTGTAATCTCACTCGGTCATTCATTCAATTAACAAGGTAAAACCAGTTTGATCAATTTACTGTTGTGTCCTGTCAGGTCGATCACTTCAATCCGGACAAGAGTTTGTCACAACAACTGGAAATTTTTACACTAAATATAACATCTCATTTCATGACTACGAAACAAATGCTAATTCGATGATGCCGGCTGGCACACTGATTCACTATGAATGTAGGCCGCACCCCCTAGCGGCAGAAGCTCGTACTACATCCGGTTCGCCCTCTATTGAGACAGTCTTGAAACTTTCCGATCGCACCTCGTATATGTTAATCTACTCAACGGGTTTAAGAGAAAATTAAAGCTTTCTTTCGTAAACTGTTTCGATGCTGTTTATAACGAAATACAAGAAGAGGTAATTTGTGCATTTGTACATTGCAACAAAGTAAGGTTAGAATTCTTACGCAAAGAAAAATGTTGTTTGGCACAGTATTTATTATTTTTCTCATAATCGTTAATTTATTTTCGTGGTATTTTTCCTCTTAAAACAATGGTGAACCCCACCATCTAGATTTATAGTTTATAATTGTAGTATTTTCCTGACGATTTGCGAATTTTTTTAAGAGAGAACGAGAGAGAAGCAATTGAATGCTTTCCGTCGTGTTGTTTCCGGATATTGTTTTAACCCTTTAGTTAGAAATCCCGTGACCCCAATGACAGAATTTCATATTACACATTCTCTGAATTTTTATGTTTACATTTGTACACACTTCTTTTAGGTATTCTATTTGATGCCATGAGTAAATTTTATCTTTCATGGTTTTAATAAATGCCTGGCATATCTGCCAGAACTGATCTGTTCGTACCCTCTTTATTACACGAAACAGTTGTCTTTATGTTCACATAATACCTTTATTATTATTATTATTCTTTCAATCTATTCATCATTTTACCTCAGACAAACCTTGCCCCTGAGGTACACAGTGTAGCAGTTATTTCTGAAATACATTTTGTTTTTAATACGTGTTTATTATTATTTCTTCGTGTTCATCTATCACATCTCTACATTGGGAAACTTTATTCCATGCCTCTATAATTGTGTTTACAAAGATCTCTTGAGAATTGTAGTCTGGAGAAAAACAGCTTTCTGCGTGTCATACACGAGGTTCAGTTTTAAATCAAGATTGACTGCGTTTTTACTAGGAGAAAGAGCCATTGCTTGCGGTTGGTAATTTTCCTTTTCTCTCAACGTTTTCCTATAACCAAATTCCCATTTCATTTTTTTACAGACAGAGATGTTCATATTTCTGTTTGTTCCCTCTGCTCCTTCAACATCTGTTGTCACTGGAACTCAGCCTTCTCGAGACCAATAACTCGACGAAGCAGCGTCTTTCTTCAAAAAAACCTCATATCCTTTAGAGTTTCACAGCTCTACATGAATCTTCCCATCCTGTATGGTACTCGAAAGTTTATTTCTGTGTTCGTAGGGCTTGGGTGCTAGACGTAAGCCAGTTTAATCCAATCAACACATTATGTACTTGTAAAGATGGTGGTGGTCTAGCGGTTAGAACGCTGGCCTTGTAATCCTGGGGGTCACGGGTTCGATTCCCGGCGGTGCCCGAATTTATAACTTGTGTTGGGCAAGGCCGTGGTCTAGGCAACACGGAGGTTTCCTCCGTGGCATCCCAACAATTACTCCATTCACACACAGAAGAAGGCAATGGCAAACCACTTCTGGATCATCTGCCAAGAACGTATATGAACAGGTCCCAGACCGAGAAAATGATGGAAGGATCCTGTTCATATGGACCTGTAGCCAACCTCCTGTAAATAAGACGGCGTAATAAAGAAGAAAGTAATTCTGAAAGATTAGGCCACGTTTGTCAAAGGCATTAAGGACAACAGTGTGGTGTACTATGACGATTTTAAGATTGAATCGAGACCCGGACTCTGTTTCACACTTTTCGTGGGGTTATCTCTTCTAGTCCCTCCAAGTAAATGACGTGATAAGTACCACAGGACACGACCGCATTGTGTTACATCCTTTCCAATTAAGCATTCACGATCAACGCAGAATTCACTGTTTTCAAGCAAAGCCACTGAAATGGGGTTATTTAAAGTTAACCAAGAATTAATGAAGTTAATGAGATTCACGGCGCTGACGTATGTGAAATGCGTGTCAAAGCTGAGTTTGTATGCCTGAAGGGAATAGAGCAATCGGGACATATAGGGGCAGATGGGAGGATAATATTTAAATGGATCGTAATTAAACAGATATCAGGGTATATGGATTGGATTCATGTGGCTCACAACAGGGACAAGTGTTGGAACCTTGTAAACATTTGTCTTCCACAAAAAAAAATAATTACGGATTACATAAGCGACTGTCAGCTTCTTTTCGAAGGATTATCCGCTACGGAATTAGTAGGTTGAATTGAAATTTTATTAGTGCATTGGTGAAGTATAAAGAATTACTTTTAATGTATATTAAACAGAATCGTATTGATTCTATTCACAAAATTGTTCAACGAAGAAAAATATTACGAAGTTTTTCCTGATATAGTGATATTTAACAAAAAATAAGGAACGACCACGCTGTGCAAATATCATTGCGGCCACTAGAATTAATTTGTTTTCTTTAGATAGGTAAAATAAATAGCTGAGTCTGCGATATGGGAGGGAAATTATGACAGGGATGAGGTTAATAATTTACCTTACGACAACAAATAATGGCTGTTATGGGTAGTTAAGTTATGCCTACGTTTTACTGAAAATACCATTAACGTAATGTGAATCAATACAAAAATATTGAACACTCATTCAAAATTTAAGTACGATGTGTACTGAAAGGATATATGATGAAACAAAAAATTTTAATATAAGTTATCCCAAAAGATGTATATACAAAATGTATAAAGACAATCTCATAAACTACATACGTCAGCATTAGTGGATTAGTTAATCTGGTATAGGTGATCGTGGCACAGTTGAAAGCGGTGAGCAGTCGATAACAAGGTGAATATTTCATATTAATAATGTGTGTGCATCTTTTGTGACACCCTGTATATAACACTGCTGAAGTATATAGGTGTGCAGCGTGTGTCAGAGATACAGGCGTAGTCTGCATGATATGAAAAATAAATAACTAAGTCAATGCGGTATGTAAAATACTAATGAATTCATTCTGGAAGTGTGTACTGAAGTGACGTAGCCTTTCACCTTTCACTCTCGGAGGAAAGTCACGTGACATGTTTTCACTTGTTACTGTTATAGATTATAATTTTAGAATATTTGTGGTAAAATATGCTTTAAACACGGTAGGTAGGACGGCAGAGTTATAGCTTCACGTTACACTGCAGTCGGAACGAACGTCATACTTGCAACTGAATCTTTGATTAGCATGAAGAAGTTAATAATAAATAAAGTCGAAAGGCGCAAGAACAGAAGAAGGAACGTGATGGAGCAGCTGAGTGTGAAATCGATCGCTTTGCCAGGCACATCTCAGAAACAACGCTCTTTTGTTCCTGATGGAGATTCTATCTGCAACATTTTCAAAATGACAAAACAAAGTGTATCTGTCATGGCAATTTGAATGTTCTTCAAGATACGACATGCCTACATTTAAATTTATCACGCAAACTGAATTATTTTAGCACAATAATACATAAAATTACAAATTATAACAATATTTTAACGCATTAAAATATAACTCAAAACAGTGATATAAGTACTCAGCTAAAATTTACAAACTGCCTTCTTTCGCCTGGACTCCACAGGCCGTGTCGCAACGTTGTACGGCTTTACTGTGGCCTTGAGACACTCGATTTGATTACAACTACTGAAGTGCATAAAATGTAAGAAACTGCGTTTCCTTCCCCCCGAGTCCTCAGTTCCAAACATGTTATTGGTTTCTTCTGAGAAGGAGATACCTCGTATGTCGTTCCTGTTTTTGAAATGTGTTTCTATTTTCTCCAGAGCCAATCACAATCATCGTCGGTGAGCCGGACATGTATATCTACAAGGGGAGTACAATCAATCTAACGTGCGTCGTGAAACACAGTCCGGAACCTCCGCCTGCCATCTACTGGACCCACAACTCGCAGGTCAGTTTTCATAATTAGGACTTGGGTTCTCACGGTTGTAGAGCTTTGAAGTCTCGTAGACGTTTAACAGCTGTTCTTATAGGTACTTGCTGCCTTTGTCATGAAGGCAAGCAGCGAGGACCTCTGAAACGTTGGTAAACTTCTACCAGACAACACGGAGCTCTAATCCAGAAGACGGCCATATTCGTTTTCATAGTGGTCCAGCATCTGGAAACTTGGGAACAGAATACAGATTATTTTATTTACAGTATAAAGCAAAATATCTCAGTTTATAAAATGACTGACTTTGTGCCAGACGATGAATTTTTCCCTTTCGTCATATAATTGTTCGCATTTATTATTACGCGTATAATCGAATCCGCGTTGAAAGAGGTTTACTGTACAGAAAACTCTCGGTTTACGAATATTCGCCATAATGAACGTCACAATTCATTCAAAATTTCTTTAAGTCGCCAATAGATAGAGTTCCTTATAAAACGAAATGCCAAACGTATAGATTTAAATAAATAACTTTTAAAAAAATGTATTTATTACAATAATTATCATAATTAATTATAATAATTAAAATTAACATTATTTTACGTTACGTATCGTATACGATAAACCATAACGCATACACACATTATAATAAAACGTATTGTATAGACCATTCGACTGCCACGGTGGTCTAGCGGTTAGAACGCTGGCCTTGTAATCCTGGGGGCAAATCACTTCTGGATCCTCTGCCAAGAACGTATATGAACAGGTCCCAGTCCGAGAAAAGGATGGAAGGATCCTGTTCATATGGACCTGTCGTCAGACAGAACACTAAATAATAATAATAGACCATTCGATGTTTAGTAAATGGTTTTAATGCTTTAAAATGGTTGCTAACGTATGGTAAAACCTCAGGAATGAAAGAAACACATAACTAACAACGTCTTGGAACGTAACTCGTTCGTAAACCGAGAGTTGCCTGTATTTTAACCTTTGAAATTTTAAAGCAATGCTGTGAATTGGGATGCAGCAAGCATCACTGAATTTTATTTGCATCTCATTTGCACTTGCAGAACACTCTTCATGGAAGTTAAGTTAATTTGTGCAGTTGTAGTGTGCTTTACGTACGCCTTACGATTACACGGGTCTGCAGCCCGCGATAATTCAATGTCGTTAAGAGCGATGCAGAGATTGCGGGTAACTGACTCTCTTTATACAGAAGAATCAGAGAGTAGTGAATGAAAAAGACTAAAAATGATGCTAGTCTTTGCACCAGAACTTGTAATTAATCCCACTGGCACTACGTCTAGCGGCAAGGACAAGAATTGAATCTGTAACGAGTTCATTCGCTGGCTCAACGTCTTGATTCTTCCAGGAAATCAACTACGATTCTCCTCGAGGTGGAGTAAGCGTGATCACAGAGAAAGGCGATGTGACCACGAGCTACTTGCTCATTCAGAGAGCCAACACGCCTGATTCAGGGAAGTACACCTGCAACCCGTCTAACGCCAATCTGAAGACGGTGGTAGTTCACGTTCTCAACGGTAAGTGACGTAACCAGCGCTCGTGAGATTTGAAGTTCTCACGATGGCGAATATGAAGATGGCTTTGTTCTGGGTTGTTTCGCCTTGTAGTCTGACACGAATTAACCTACGTTTCAGAAGTGCATACTGCCACAAGACTCAGCAAACCAGAAAACAGTCATCTAACCACTATTCCTTTATAGGTGGATCAGGAAGGATGTGCCATTATGTTCATTTGCCTCTGTGTTTCGCCCTCAATAACGTCTCAGTAAATGAGAGATTTTGTTGCGTTCTTTGTACGATGTGCGTGTCTTTGTGTGGTGTACAAATACCAGGAACACCATTTCTTTTATTAATATATATTTTTTTCAGATAAATATAACAAAATATGTGCATTATCACTGTTTAATCTTGGCTTTCCTGGATGACTCGCGTCGACTACTGATAATTATCCAATGTTTCGGCAAACATTGCAGTTGTCATCTTCAAGGGTGAATTATGGTTTTGATAAGACTTCCAAAAACTCACATCTACTACGTACCTACGTACGTACGTACGACCCTGAAAATATCAACTTCAAAGTATGTCGAAACGTTAGATAGTTATAAATATTCGAAGTGGCTCACTGACGAAAGCAGAAGTTAGAAAAACCTGGGGACATTTATAACAATAATGCCACACTTCGATATGTAAGGATAAATAATGTATCATTACAACTAGGTATTATATATCTGGGGCCGGAGAAAAGTAAAACATTAATGGCTCTGCTTACTTGAACGAAACTCTTAAGTTCTGTAGAATATAAATGGGTTTGCGTTCAAAAAAGATGTGTTCATTTCCCTTAATTCTTTACGTCGAAAGTGTATTCTAAAACATTTTTAATAACATTTATTTCCCTTATCGGATAACTTATTTTGTTGGAATCGATGTTGAACAATTATTACTGTACAAACGTCTTCATGATGAGACTATGGCTAATCGAATATCGGCCTATTTTTTGATATGACAGGCCACAAATTTCCACCTGTTTCTCGCAATAGGCCTAAAACTGAGTCTGAACCGGTTCTCTCTGGTTTTTGTGTACTAACTTTTCAGAAATATAAAAGACGGTTTCCAGTCGTAATCTAAGAAAACTGATCTCCTGTTCAGCACTCTGATAAAAATGCGCAATTATAATTATTAATAAAATGCCTAATTTGTAAATTCAAAATTAAAACAGTTTACTGCGTAGCGAATCAACGTAGATTGATAAATCGTTTTGTACACAAATTTGGTTTTGATGTGCGAACGAAAATCGTATATTATTTTTACTCGAATCTGTTAAGTTGTTCACTATTTTGAAAACCTCATTTTCTGCTTTATCAGATGCGAAAAAAATGAACATCGGCACAGTTTTTATATAAATCATTTTGTATATTAGACAAATACCAACATAACCGTATTAAAATACTTTGTCGTTACGTGTGACAAAATCCAAAATATATACCGAGGACTTTATACACAGAAATAGCGCACTAATTAATTAATTATTACCTCGTAATAATTCTGGATACTCTGCATAGTTAGCAGTCATTTCAGGAAGTTGCGCTTTACGAAGTGTTCTGTAGATTTGCTGGTTTCAGCAGAGAAACCCCTGAATTTCTTGAGTTCATTATCTCGGAATAAGGATTTAGTCGACCGTAAACCGAGAGCCGCTCAAATTCCTCAGCTACGCCTTCTTCAGAGAGATCTATGCAACCACCTCTACATCTCCCCTGTTCCTTCTCACGCACATTTTCCGAATTCCTTAGAAGCTCCGAAGCGTCTGTTGATAGGATTTCGACTTAATTTCGACAATAAAATGGTAACTGGACGACTTGGATGCTTCTGTCACTGAAACACTGTTTAGTGCTGCGAAGAAAACACTTACTTCAGTACATAAATCGATATTTATCGCTCAAAATATCGAGAAGATATTGTAGCTACTTACAAGTTCAATTGATTTGAAGTCGACTCAAATGCACTGATTATTCGTATCAATATTTGTGAAACAAGACGATTATATCATCCTCTCATTCTACGCCATATAGTCTGAGATACTGAAAATCGTCGTTAAATAAAATACAAATATAAATTTAATTTCAATACGTCTCACTGTATAATACTGTGGTAAGGACAGACATTGTCTGTCGAACACATTTTAGTTCATTGAGATGTAACAAATATCATTTTCATAATCTTCTTTATTAAATCAGTGAATGTAAATTAAATATGCTTCATTATCATACACATTTTATCAGAGAATGGAGTTTTAGCTGACTTTTGATCAAATAAATAAAAGGAGGTTAAACGTAATTAATTATAAAAATACGTGTCATTTTAGTACATGGGAACGACCCGTCGGACAGCACAACACAGAAAAACGCGTACAAATATCCATGACTTGAGTGGGATTCGAACCCACGGTCCCAGCGACCAATCGACACAAGGCCCACGCCTTAGACCGCGCGGCCACTGCGAACCCCTTGAGTACATCAGTTAATGGAAACTAAACATGATTTGATGTTATTCACATTTTACCGGTGAAAGGATATTAATCTGCTTGAATACCATGCTCATTATTATCAGTGAAGGAACTCCGAAGGGCCTTCAGCAAGACGTGATGCTATCTCTTTTGCCACGAACAGCCAGGCTATATAAAGTAACAGCGCTGTTTTCTGGGCCGCCCAATCACGTTATTTGCAGACTCGGGTTCGTAAAGGTGACCCAGGGGAATGTATTATCCAACTCCTCCCCCATCTTCTTCCATCATTCTCAACCTCCCACCCCACCTCACCTCACCGAGGCCCTTCCATTGGAAAGTGTTATTTTTACTCTCAGGGTCCGAAAACAATTTTAAACCTACACGTGGGAGGGCGTGAGGATTCCTGCAGTAGTTTAACAAATTAGACTTCGTGGGTCGATCGCCCAACTGCATTCAAGATCTGACCATACAGCGGAAAAGTAGCAAATAGAGCCTTGGGAATCTACGAGGGAAAAAAGAAAAGTTTAATCCTATTTGGAGTGCGTAGATTCTCCAAAGGCGTTCAGTCCTCTCTTCCGCCTGTCATTGCTCAGATGCAAATGGGAAAAAAGAAGGAATATATAATCTAAAGGTGAGATTTTAACTTACCCAAGGCGTCGAGTATGAATAGTATCCAAAAAGATTTAAATGTTACGCAGTTAAAGCCACGTCATCATCAAATGTGAATACGCGAACTTCACCTGGAGACGAACTGTCGAGATGTTGAACGTGGAGGGAACAGGTGTGAAGTTGCTAGCCACCCACTTTTATCACTGTTTACACTTCAATTTGTCAAACGTGTTTCAACCTCATGAGACCATCTTCAGTGGTAACATTTTGTATTATTATTTTTTATTAAGTGTTCTGTCTTACGACAGGTCCATTGCTCTGCCCAAACAGAGCTCTCCAGCTTCTCGCTTTAATTCCTGCAACGTCATCTCCTTTCCTTGTTTAAGGTCGTCGGTTAGCTGTATCAATCTTCTTCCTAGTCCTCTCTTTCCTTCAACCTGGCCTTCGATGATATCACTCATTAATCCATTCCTTCTCATAATATGTCCCAGCCAGTTAGCTTTCCTTCGTGTAATCGCCTGCAGAATGTTTCTTTGCTCGTTGACTCTCCTCAATACTTCTTCGTTGGTCACTCGATCCGTCCACCTGATCTTCTCTATTCTTCTCCAACACCACATTTCAAAACTCTCCAGGTATTTCTGTTCCTTCTTCCTGAGTGTCCAAGTCTCTGCTCCATACGTAACACTTCACTAGTTTCTTCTTCATCTCCAAGCCCAACTTGCTAGTGAGAAGTATCCTCTTCTTGACGAAAGCTGCCTTGGCCATGGCTATCCTTGCTTTTACTTCCTTGGTGCATAGGGCGTCCGTCGTGATTATGCTTCCCACGTACTTGAAATGCTCCACATTCTCCATCTGTTTGTTTCCAATTAGAACGTTCAATGGTTCTGCTCTCGGTGCTATCCTCATTACCTTTGATTTTTCAATGTTGATTTCCATTCCATACTCTCTACCTGTTTCCACTAACTTGTCCATCATGTTCTGTAATTCCTCCTCTTCCTTCGCCAATATTACTAAGTCGTCTGCATACTTTACAGTCTTTATCACTCTTCCTCCAATTTTGAAGTCTCCTGTTCCCTCCAGAGCTTCCTTGGCAAGCCATTCCCCGTACAGGTTAAAAAGAATTGGTGATAAGCAGCATCCCTGTCTTACACCTCTACCAATCTCAACGCTGTTGGTGTCTCCTGAATCCAGTCTCACTTTGACTTTATGTTACTTAAATTAATAAAAGCGGATTTCAGGCAAAAATGGTTTGTGCACGTGCAGACAATGGATAACAGAATATCTAAAACAGCAGGAGATGAAACCTGTGACGTCCGAAATAGAATAATGAACGAAGTCATTACTCCCTATTGCACGAAGTAAGCCAGGACTAACTTTATACTACACAGTGTTGTAATTATTGTTTCGCAGATAAATTATTCAACTGCTGTAAGTTCTTCAGAAGAAAGATGGATTTAGTCTATTCGCTTTGCGATTAATTGTCTCCTTGATTAATGTTCTGTCTGTCTACAAAACACTGTCTATATAAAAGATGCCGAATTTCACACTGCACTCTACGTGTCTCATGTCAGCTCACACGTAACACACTGCTTTTCCGCCGCTCGTAAGTCTCACAGTTCGCTCGGTGGTGGTTGCTACCAACCTTCCAACCAAAAATGTAACTAAGAGCGGAGTCTTTCGTAAGCGCAGGACATCGGCCCTTGATAAATTTAACCCTTCCCGTATATGAAACGCATTGCTGAAAATGCCAAAAGGTACTCCAACTAAGGTGAGAGGCGGTCAAAACAAATTCCCCTCTCCTCCCACTCCTTTTGAAACACGTTACTGTCTGTCCTGCAAACATATCCTGCTATCGTTTTGGTACTTTCTCTATTACTGTAATGTTCTCTGCCTACTACATTAAAATAAA